GTCAGACACTCTCGTTTCTCTGCGTCTCTCACTAAATCCAAATCCCTATAACTCGGCTCAAAACTGTCGTAGAAAAATGATTTTTGTTGTGTTTAGCGGCAAATTTCAAGCGTTTTCTTATGAATATCTGAATATCTGAAACCTCTTAATTTTCAGAATTTTTTTTTAGTTCTACTCTCCAAACTTCCCAAACTCTTACGTTGGCGCCAAAAACCCTTGCAAATACTTCATTGACACTCCAAGCGGAACCCAAGCCCAGATTCGATTCCCAATTTTGAATCTCGATGCCTATTCGACAATTCAGTTGTATTATGGGGACAACCAAAAGCCAGACGTGACAATTTACTCCGATACTACTATGAAATGGTACACTTCTCCAACAAACACTATTAAAATGATCTTCAAACCGAGTACTGACTACACTGGCTCTAGAATCTTATCCTGGAAAGCTGAATTTGAGCCCATGCCACAGGTTACTGTACCTCGCACTACAACTACAACTCATAAAGTGATCATAACACCCGATCCAAGAAACCCATCAGGTTGTAATTCTCCTTCAATTTCAACCGAAACTGGCTATTTCACATCTCCAAATTACCCTGACCATTATCTCGATTCCATGACTTGTAAGTATTTGTTAACCACGGACACTGATAAAAGGATTCACTTGGAATTTGGAGAAATCGATTTGTTCATGGACCAGGACGAGATTATCGTTCGGGATGGGTCCAGTTTTACGGATCCTAATCCATTAGAGATAATTAACGGAAACCCAGGCCATTGGTACAACAAACAGTACACATCTACTGGGAATACAATGAATGTATATTTCTTCTCAGATAGCCGTGATAATGCGAAAGGATTCTCTGCTAATTTTTATGCGTTAAATTATTCTAAACCTGAGCCCAATAATCTCAATTACGGTAAAAGATATCAAAAAGTTGACAACTGATAAAATGTTTGTCATAATATAACCAATATTTTATCAGTTGACATAATTTTGATGTCTTCATCAGGAAGCGAGATATATGAGGTCAAAGTTTACGATGTTTTTGGTTGAGAAGTCAGTATGAAGTTTGATGTTTATTGATAACAGAATTGTCAGTTTTTCTTATCGTTAATACTTTTTTAATGCCGATTTTTTATTTGGAGGTGAAGTTGCAATGTGAGCGAATCAAAATTTTTCAGTTTTTTGAGAATTTCTAAATTTTGAAAAATTGAGATATTAACAAGAAAAAGCTAAAAATTTTCTACTAAACCCACCAAAAATCATCGCTCCAGGACATACTTGTAACGGGCCGGTCCGTGCTTTTTTCCAAGTTTCGGAGGCCCGGCGCGTTGCGGCGGGCCCGTCATTTCACAAGTTTTGGAAATTTCAAAAAACACATAAGGGGGGAACCGGGCCCGGGCTTTGGCGGGCCGGCCCGGAATTTTACAATTATGCTATACGACAATTTTGACTGTCTGCGTCTCTTGATGGAAAATCTTCAAATGACCATAACTCGGCACAAACAGAAATTCAGAAATTCAGAAATTCAGAAATTCAGAAATTCAGAAATTCAGAAATTCAGAAATTCAGAAATTCAGAAATTCAGAAATTCAGAAATTCAGAAATTCAGAAATTCAGAAATTCAGAAATTCAGAAATTCAGAAATTCAGAAATTCAGAAATTCGGAAATTCAGAAATTCAGAAATTCAGAAGATCAGAAATTCAGAAATTCAGAAATTCAGAAATTCAGAAATTCAGAAAATTAGAAATACAGAAATTCAGAAATTCAGAAATTCAGAAATTCAGAAATTCAGAAATTCAGAAATTCAGAAATTCAGAAATTCAGAAATTCAGAAATTCAGAAATTCAGAAATTCAGAAATTCAGAAATTCAGAAATTCAGAAAATTAGAAATACAGAAATTCAGAAATTCAGAAATTCAGAAATACAGAAATTCAGAAATTCAGAAAATTAGAAATTCAGAAATTCAGAAATACAGAAATTCAGAAATTCAGAAAATTAGAAATACAGAAATTCAGAAATTCAGAAATACAGAAATTCAGAAATTCAGAAAATTAGAAATACAGAAATTCAGAAATTCAGAAATACAGAAATTCAGAAATTCAGAAAATTAGAAATTCAGAAATTCAGAAATACAGAAATTCAGAAATTCAGAATATGAGAAACTCAGAAATTCAGTAATTCAGAAATACAGATATTCAGATATTCAGATAATTAGAAATGCAGAAATTCAGATATGCAGATATGCAGATATTCACATTAATTTTTTGTGGTATTTATATTCCAGAATCTGAAAAAAGTTGGGATCCATATTTCAAACAAATGGAATGCGGTACTTTTTTTTACAAAGTTTTTTTTAGTTCTGAAAAATATTAATTTTCAGACAAAACCGATCGATTTTCCAAATTTGACATCGAACAATTATGATTCATTTCCGAAAACCTGTAAAACCGTTTGTGCCGAAATCAGAATTTTGAGAGATTGTGATTTATCGGAAAATCAATCATCGGAATTAACAAAAGAAGAAAAACGTATGGGGTGGACTAAAAATTTCTGAATTTCTGAATTTCTGAATTTCTGAATTTCTGTATTTCTAATTTTCTGAATTTCTGAATTTCTGTATTTCTGAATTTCTGAATTTCTGTATTTCTAATTTTCTGAATTTCTGAATTTCTGTATTTCTGAATTTCTGAATTTCTAATTTTCTGAATTTCTGAATTTCTGTATTTCTGAATTTCTGAATTTCTGCATTTCTAATTTTCTGAATTTCTGAATTTCTGTATTTCTGAATTTCTGAATTTCTGTATTTCTAATTTTCTGAATTTCTGAATTTCTCCATTTCTGAATTTCTGAATTTCTAAATTTCTGAATTTCTGAATTTCTGCATTTCTGAATTTCTGAATT